TTATTTCTTTAAGGAATGTGTTTCCAGGAATCCCTTCAATTAGTCTGCTGGAATTATGGGCCTCCATTTCATGTTTTTGAATTTTTTTTTTTTTTTTTTTTTTCATCATCATTCGATTTCTGTTGCACTACCGTTAAATCTGCGGAAAGACAAAGGCAGGTTCTCCTGGCCATTTCGGTGTGTGTGCGTTACATAGACAAAGTTCTTAATAAGACAAATCAAGACAATTTTCTGTATGTCTCTTAAGCTGGGGTTTCCAGGATTCTTTCAATGTGTTGTTTTGTTCCATTTTTATAATTCCAAGTGCACCTATTACCACTGGTATTATTCTTGTTTTCAATTTCCACATTTTTCTATTTCAATTTCCAGGTCTTTGTATTTTGATAGTTTTTCAAATTCCTTGGTTGCTGGACAATCCGCTGGACAAGCCATATCAATTAGTAGGCAAGTTTTTTCTTTCTGGTTTTTACAATAATGTCCGGCCTATTTGCTTCAATTTTTCTGTCTGTGTGGATGGTATAATCCCACAGAATGGTGACATCTTCTATTTCTGTAACCGGCGCTGGCCGATGTTCATACCAGTGTTTGCTTACACATTTTCCAAAGTGTTTGCACATTGTCCAGTGTAAGTATTGCCCCACTCTATCGTGACGATTTTATATTCATTTGGGGCAAGTATAGAACATCCTGAGATTAGATGGTCTATTGTTTTCTTGGTATTTGTCACAGAACCTGCATTTTGGATCCACATTATTATGTATGATATTTGCCTGAAAATTCCTAGTGAAAAAGACTCTGGTCTTGCGCTGCAAGAATAAAGCCTTCAGTTTCAGACTTTAATCCAGATGCTCGTAACCATCGATGAGTATTAACTTTATCAACATTGGGTTTATTTGCACGTTCTGGATATTGGCCATGCAGAGGTTTGTCTTGCCAGCGTTGTTTCATCTGTTCAAGGGCTTTATCCTTGGCTTTCTTTTCATATCTTTTGCTGCAATAGTTGGTTCTTGGCTTCTTTGATTTACTACAGAATCTACTAAATGTAAATGTTGTTTGTATTTACTGCCTTCTTTTATTATTGAATATTTTTTCTTTTCTGTTTTCATGTTGTTTCACTAATTTTATCATCCAGTCATTTGTTGTTTCCATGTAAGTTAGTAAGCCAATAGTTGTTGTCTTGTATGACAATTCTAGCTGAATAAGACCTCTTCCACCTTCTTTACGGGGTATGTATTATTATTATTCATTATTTGGATTATTATTATTATTAAGAATCTTTTGTTTTCGAATTCCATTTGTCTGATGTCATTTAGAGTCCAGTTCAAGATGTTGAAACTATATTGACCAATGGCAAGGTTATGGTATTTTCTGTTCTGAGAATTCAATTTAAAAAAACCCTTCTATTTTACATACATTTCTTTCAAAGGACAATTCCTTCACTATTTAGACCTTAGGTAATAAGCTCCTTGTTCTAAATCTTTTATTGTTACAGAGAAAACAATTTTTTGTATTTCCTTAAACTGTAGCTTTATGGGTTTATCCAAATTAATTTCATTCAATGTCTTCACTGAATCATTTTACAGTTTGCAAAGAAATCCGAGGGCTCATTGTCATTCCTAGCATACAATTTTAAGTCATTTTAGATGGTTTATTTTCTTTTTGAGCTATTTTGTAACCGCATTCTGTTTTGTTAAGTTGGCTGGTTTTTACTATAAGTTATTATTAAATTATTATTATTATTATTATTATTATTATTATTATTATTATTATTATTATCTCCTCTGTTTTCCGTTGTATACACACTTCCTTCCGGTCCCAACCAGAGACATAAGCTCAGAAATGGCTCAATGTTACTTTCCACTTATCATTTTTATAAAAAAAAAACAAAATATATTATTATTATTATTATTATTATTATTATTATTTACAAATGAAATGATTGGTGAATTATGGAGATTATGCTCGTCTTGAAATTTTATGAAACCTTTCTGTCATTTTGTTCATTCCCCCGGGAATAATAATAATAATAATAATAATAATAATAATAATAATAATAATAATAATTTGTCACTGGAACAAACTCTTCCAACAACGAAGAGACCCCTGGTCACCAAACCCAGACTATTTCCTACTTTGGCTCAAGTGACTCAACGCCAAATCAATTAATAAAAAGAACACGGACGAGATGGACACGCGAAGAGTATCAACAAGTCGTAACAGCCTTTTCCACCGCTCTCGAAAATTCACAAAAGAACATCACGGTTCAGACCTACCAAATATTGTAGGAACTGAAATATGACCCCATCTCAACTTAAAAATGCTCGCGCGAAATAAAAGACTCACAAATGCGGAAATAGATCAGATAAACCTAAATATAAGATAGAATACAATAAACCCCTCACTTCAAGAATAAAAGATGATAATAGAAATAATAATATGACAAAGGATTAGGTAACAACTAAAATAAATGAGATACGAAATAATAATCTCCCAGGAAATAAAACCGAAGAATCTACCTGTGACATAAGCTATAGTTATCCAGATTAAGTCACTAAAGATGACTCAAACGACATTAGGGCAGAATTCCTTGAAAACAACTGAGATGAAGTCACCGAAGCGAAAAACCACATCATTTAAGTACTCAGCAGAGTAAATCGCATACAAATGTCTGACAGAGATCAGCTCCCCAAAATTCATATGACAAAGTCCAATAAACATATTGTGCAAATATACAATGCTGCACTGCAAACCCTGTTAACGGATAAACCAGTGGGAACATCACAGAAGTAAATAATGTCATATACGCAACAGCTTTAGCAGCTACTGGAAAGCTTGGAGTCAAGACAATAAAAGATCAAACAAAAGAGAAAAAGAGTCAACTTGAAAGGCAAAACTGAGGCGAGAATAAAGGGAATCGGATGTGAATTAACGGTACTAGACGAGATTTCAAGAAACCAAAATGTCTCAATACGCAAATGAAGGAAGATCAAGCGGAGATATAAAATTAAATTACTAAATGACATTCCATGGAACTTAAGAAATTTTACAGGGAAATTGGAAAAGCGGTTATACATGTCAAAAAGCCACCATCTATTGAATTAGTGCAGAAACTTTCGGAGAATATTTGGAGCAACCCAAAAGAATATAACCCCAATACAGAATGGATCCAACGAAAGATGGATAAAGCACTACAAGAATGGGAATATGTAACCAAGAATACTGTTTGGCAAGTTCTAACGAAATCCCAAAAGTAGAAATCCCCCAGAAATTACAAGATACCCAATTTTTGGTTCTATCATTTGTCATCAGTCCATAAAACCCTTGCACAAACTCTATCAATGCTTATTAATAATGCCAATGAAGTTCCAGAAAGGATCACTGAAGGTATTACATCGCTTCTGTAAAAAAATAGATGATCTCAAAAATGGGAACATCAACAATCCCTGTTGTAGTTGGAGACCTCGGATTGATTGAAAAAGATTCCAACAGACTCAGTGAAGGGATTCCTGGAAGCCCATGCCTTAAAGAAATACAAAAACTTTTTCCCACGAGTACCGCCCACACCCTGTTGTTATTTCTTTTTTTGTTTTTTTGCTCAGTGGAAAATGCCATGATGCCTTTTCTGACCTTATCTCTCTGGGCGGGACGCGGAAAGAAATGTGTACACACCAGAATTCAAAGGAATTAAGACAATAGCAATAATAATAGTTAAGAGGAGAGCGTGATTACAGGAAAGACAAAGAAAGGAAAAAACAAATTTTAAACAATATTTCAGTAGAACTAAATATTGTTTAAAATTTGTCAAACAGTTTTTGTTTTCTTAAATGGATATCTTCTCTTAAGTCTTGAAATTATTGGAAGAGTTACGCAAATCATTTTCTTTAATAATAATAATAATAATAATAATAATAATGTTAATAATAATAATAATAATAATAATAATAACTGAAATCAATTATAGAAATCGAAAAGCCACCATCTATTGAAGAAGTGCCAAAAGTTTTGGGAAATATTTGAAACAGCCCAAAAGAATATAATCCTAATGCAGAATGGATCCAAAGAAAAGAAGAAAGACTGTTGGATAAAACTCTACAAGAATGGGAAAATATAACCAGGCAAACTTTACCGAAATCCCAAAAGTGGAAATCCCTTGGAAATTACAAAATACTCAATTTTTGGCTCTATCATCTGTCATCAATCCCTAAACCCTTTGCATAAAATCTATCAATGCTTATTAATAATACCAATGAAGTCCCAGAATGGATCACTGAAGCTATTACATCGCTTCTGTAAAAAACGGATGATCCAAAAAAATAATAGGCCAATTACATATCTGTCTACCACGTTTAAATTGATTTACGTCCGTCCTGACGAACCGTACTTACTCTTTTGACGAATCAAGCAATATTCTTTCACTGAAGCAGAAGAGATGCTGGTGAGGTTCATATAGTTGCAAAGATCAATTATTGATAAGCAAAAATGATGCTGGAAAATTGCAGGAAAAGAAGTATCTGATCAGTTAGTAAATGCAAATAATCAAATAGTAAATCTTGTGGAACTCTCCTGTCATTTTGTTAATTTCCCCGATGTCGGACGTTATTAATTTACATCTGTAATGGTCTTCATGTGTTTTAAGGGTTAAAATATCGGTGGATTCTGGATATTTTTAATAGTAAATTTAATTGATATTGATTTAGTAATGAATATTATTAGTAGTATTATTAGAAATATCCGTGAACACTTGCCAGTTTCGATGTGAATTTTCTGCTGACTCTTAATTCAGTGATCGAATAAACTCATTCTAAGTTCTATGACTATAAAACACCCGTAGAGACTCCCCTATTGCTTAGTTAAATATTTAAATAATTGATAGAAATTTGTAATAACAACAATAAATATGAATGCAGGTGACTATCTAAAGATGTAAGAGGGTACAAATGAAAAGATTTGAAAGTGACAACGTTTTTCATTTCACTGAAGCAAAAGTTAAACAAATGAAAATGTTATCGCCTCCTCTATCTTCCCTTTCTTTCTTTCTTTCTTTCTTTCTTTCTTTCTTTCTTTCTTTCTTTCTGTGCTTTCATTTTCTTTCTTTCTTTCTTTCTTTCTTTCTTTCTTTCTTTCTTTCTTTCTTTCTTTGCTTTCATTTTCTTCGTTCACCATCTTTCTTTCTTTTCCTCGGTGATACGAAATAGCTTCTAGCATATGTCTTTTCCGTCTTTCCTAACGATGAAAACGGAATATTCTATTATTTATATGGCATTGGCAAGGTGTAACGAACATACTAACAAGCATAACTATATAATAATAATAATTTATTATTACTATTATTATTAATTTATATTATGTTGGTGTTGCATATTGAAGCAGTCTAAGGGAATTTTCTTACTGAGGCATGCTCTCAACAATACAGGACATTGCTCAAAATGCGAAATGAAAGCAAGACTGCATTTACTCCGTGAGGATTCTATGAAGGACACTTCACAAGAAATTTTTGGAGAATCCTCGCAGAGGAAATGCAATCTTGGTCTTAATTCGTATTTTATATGAGCGTTTTCTTCAGTTATCTTGGTGGTGTTCCAAGTGCACCTATTACTACAGGAATTACTTCAAATGTCATGTTTCATAAGTTTTTCTTCCCCCTAGCTAGATTCTGGTATTTTTCTATCTCTTCTGTTTCATTTGAGTCCATTCTTTTATCGTATGGAACAGCAAATCAATATTGTGGCAAAATTGAAAACGTTAATTTTTGATAATTGACAAAACACAGGTGTAACTACAGGGCTTTGGGTAGATATGGAAAAATTAATCGCGACACACACGAAGTAACTACACTGACCGATTTTCTTGCCGCAGAACATCTTTGGCCTACGATAATAAAATTATGCTATCAGAAATATGTACCGAAAGAAAATGAATGGGGACCCAGAAGTGTTTTTTCTTCTTTCTTTGAAGCGACAGACTGACTGAAACTTTGGAGATGTTTCTTTTTTGAGGCCGTCTTAAGGAGACCACCCATTCTGATAATTGGCGATAAAAATACCTGATAAAGACCACGTGTAGAACAAGAGTTGTCATATTGTCCCGTTGCGGCTAGGGAAATGATAACGGCGATTAAGAGGAAGAAAAGGAAAGAGAAGAGATAATTTTTTTAGTTAAGCAAGATATTTTTTCTTCCTGAAACAAAGCCATTCGTCCACGCCCGACTAAGACATCATTGGTCAAGTATGATCACGTGACGCACGAAGGAGGAGAAAGATAATTTTTTGGTTAAGCAAGATATTTTTTTCTTCCTGAAACAAAGCCGCGGATTCGTCCACGCCCGACTGACATCATTGGTCAAGTGGTGATCGTGACGCACGAAGGGAGGCTGTCGACGCCTCATCCAGAGTATAGGTATGAGAGGCTGCTACGAAGAAGTGGGAGGGCAGTTCACGCCCTCTGAAGTATGATGAGAAGGTGGGAGGAGGAAAGTTTCCCAAAATGGAAAAAGAGTGGAAAATCCCTAACCAGAAATAAAAGAGGTGGATATGTATTTAGAATTATCGAGGAACCCCTGACGCCGACAGACCCACCCTGGTTTTGGTCGGCGTCCATAAAAGCGAAGCCCCTACGAGCAGAAATCAGTTCGGGCTCCGAGTTTCAGAGTTGAGTTCCAGCAGTTCCAGTGAGTTTAGCTGACCAAGATTCACGCAAATTCCGGACTCCTCTTCAACCCAAGAACAATTATTTTGAAGAGCGACTTAGATCCAGACCACCGAAATAAGTTTTTTTTTCGACTTACGTCCAAAGACACACCGAAACACCAATTTCTTAGAGAGAAAACAACTTGAAGCGTTAAAACTTGCCTAACGGAAAACGACGTGTCACAATCCACAGAACGGGTCGGGAGATAGATGCAGTCCTATGTATCGAACAACTAGACATAAAGTTTGTTACCTTTTTCTTTGATACTTTGAACTTTTTGAGTTTTCATTTTCTTTTCTTTTATGCATATTTGTGTGGTATCACCCCCGTTGAACTCAGTTTGCATTACGGCCCCGACTACTGATTGATCTCGTCTGCCTAAGATCAATTCACAACGTGGGTAGGCACACTGGAGATCAATGCAGTTACTTTGGTAACCAGGCGTTGGAAGCGAGTTGGGAACGACGAGGCTGATATCAAATCTAACCAGATTCCCACCCGAATCACCAAAAGGTTAGAACGTCACATTTGGGTGCCGCGACCGATACCAAGCCAGTTGGTCGTCACAGGACGAGACAACACGACTGACGCGACAGGCGGACGTCACGTTTGGAGCAGCGACACCCGGAGCAACGAGAGCGAACGAAAGCGGCGAACAGTCTGGCGCCGCGGTTTGAGGACGTCACAACTGGTGCCGTGGTAGATCAGGATAGAACGTCACAGTTGGCGCTGCGACCAGGGGGCGACGTCACAATATTTTGACACTTGCAATTTCCCTTATCTCTAATAATCGGGTCAGGTATTGGTGCTTCAATGATATGATCTGTTTGGAGTGAGAAATCCAATAATAATCCTGTGACTCACATTCTCTCTGGCTTCTGGCCGATATTCATAGCATTTCTCTTTCATAGTGAAGTTATATTTACGACATACTTCTTAATGGATTCTCTTGTTAATCCAATCATGTCGTCGCATATATTCCTTTCTGTGCCAACTTGGGACGTTCATCAATATCTAGATAACCGACTCATTAGATTGCATGCACATACTGCATTTGCTTTCTTCTTGTGATGTGCCTGTTCTGACCTAGATTACATTCGTTCTGATGACCTGCACTTGTGCTGCAAACATGACAGAATCTGTCTGGATTGTCTCCGTCTGCTGAAAAAAAATGACCATGAAGCTTTTTTAAAAAACTTTTTAGGCCGCTTCTCCTTCTGTGCAACAGTCACTGGATCCTAAAGTCTAAATATATGAGAAAATTTTTTAATTATTATTATTATTAATACATGCATCGTATTATCACGTTCGCTTATTTATCACTTGTCAAATTCATGTTGATTGCAGTCTCTAAGTATCTATCTATCTATCTATCTATCTATCTATCTATCTATCTATCTATCTATCTATCTATCTATCTCATTCTCTTCATTATTTATCTAAATTTCTTCATTTCTATCTATCTATCTATCTATCTATCTATCTATCTATCTATCCCAGTCTCTTCATTATCGATCTATCTAAATTTATTCAATATCTATCTATCTATCTATCTATCTATCTATCTATCTATCTATCTATCTAAATTTCTTCATTATCTATCTATCTAAATTAGTCAATTCATTATCTAATTTTCTTCATTATCTATCTATCTATCTATCTATCTATCTATCTATCTATCTCATTCTCTTCATTATTTATCTAAATTTCTTCATTTCTATCTATCTATCTATCTATCTATCTATCTATCTATCCCAGTCTCTTCATTATCTATCTATCTATCTATCTATCTATCTACATCTGTTTAAATCTATTTGTCTATGTATCGATCTTTTATTTATCCATCTTATATAGAAGGCTGATTATTTCCATGTGGTCATTTATGTATTAGGGCCGGTTTTACTTTTCAAACGAAGCGACTGTAAATCTTTTTTTCCGGTGACAAGAGACAAAATTACATGCCGCGATAAATCGGCAGAATTGAAATATCAAAGAAAAGTTACACTCTTCTGAAATAGATTGTTACACACACACACACACACACACACACACACACACACACCACACACACACATATATATATATATATATATAAATATATGTATATGTATATATATATACCTAAATTCAAAGATAAAAATATATCTGTAAAATGGAAAAAAAATCATTGCCGACGCGTTTCGTCCTGAGGTGGACTTTATCAAAGCAACTGTAAGGATTTTATTTCGTAACAAGTATCCATGTATCTAATTGTGTTCATATCTATCTCAGTCTGTTTATATCTATCTATCTATCTATCTATCTATCTATTTGAAGTTTTTTAATTTATATACTTGATCTCCTTTGTAATCTAGCTGTGTAGCGATCAATTAATTGCTTTAAAGGTTTGTCATGCATTCTCCAATGTCTCAGTTATTACTCTTCGAACTGTACATCCTTAATAAGTCTTTTAATCAAATCAGAGGTGTCAGCTGTTGAGCGGACTCTACACTATGGCTCAGAGATATGGACGTCTGGATGAAACCTACGCCCATCTTCTGATGAGAGCTCAAAACCTCTCTTGCAAACATCATCTGACCATCCACTAAATCTACGGTAGTCTTCCCCGTGTTTCCTCTCTCATGTAATCTCATTGAGCACAGTTTCCTGACCAATGAGTTTGTCTCCACTCTGGAAGCCTGAGTCAAACCTGATCAGGAGCAGAAAACTATCATTACTTGACGTCATCTCAATCGATGCAGGCATTAATAAGCAGAACTAGGGGGCAGCAATGAAAGACCAGAAGGTCTGGCGTAGTGTTGTGGAATCCATGATCTCGACTGCGGTCGATACATAACAAGTAGATTCTTTTGTGGAGTATAAGACCACAAAATGAGGCGTTTATGCTGTTGCCTATATAGTAAGTACTTTTATGCTGCTTTGCGACACCAGACTCACGTCCCATTGGACTTGAATTATGAAACGTTTTTCGAGCCAACCAAAGACTGCTGCGTAGGCTGGAGCTAAGAAATGGACACAGACATTTCCCAAGATTATGAAAAAGTGAATGCAACAAATTCAGTTCGAATTTGAACACGGGATATCGATTTTAATTTTTCTTCGATAACCGCTACGCCACTCCCACGTTTTTAAAGATTGAGGCAATCTCTCTCTCTCTCTCTCTCTCTCTCACACACACACACACACACATATATATATATATATATATATATATATATATCATAAACATATATATATATGTTTTTTCTCTCATTATACACATACACACACATATATATATATGTGTGTGTGTGTGTAAAAAATGAGAGAAACACAGTATATATATATATATATATATATATATATATATATATATATATGTGTGTGTGTGTGTGTGTGTGTGTGTGTACAAATGAGAGAAAAAAACAGTAAAACAGGTAAAAATCCACTGTTCGTAACATTTACATTTTAGAAAAAGTGCACAATACAAAAGTAGAGCAAAATATTGTAATTTTAATTACAAAATATTGGATTAGTTTACAATAAAAAACATTTTACATCATCCACCCAAAATATAAAATGCTAATATAAAATGTTTTTATCGAATTTGTTACAATAAAATATTACAATATATATATATATATATATATATATATATATATATATATATATATATATATATATATCAGGTCATCCCATAAGTTCTGTCCGAATTTTGAATAAAGAAAACAAGTGACCAAATGTTACATTTAATTACAGATTCAATCAACAATGTATTTTCCATAATTATCTATGACTTCCTTCCATCTATTAACAAGCTTACTAATTACATTACTGTAAAATTCTTTGGGCTTTGATTCGAAGAACTCACAAATGTCATTTTTAACCTCTTCCTGTGTTACAAAAGCTGTTTCTTCCAAATTATTCTGTAAGCTACGAAACAAATGGTAGTCTGAAGGAGCAAGATTGGGAGAATAAGGTGGATGGGGAATTTTCTCCCAACCGTGTTCTTCGATCTTTTGTGACGTGATTCTTGCTGTGTGGGGTCGCGCATTGTCGTGATGAAACATCACCTCTTTTCGATTCACTAGAGCAGGTGTTTTATTCCTCAAAGCTTGGTTCAAACGCACTAAATGCTGACAGTATATTTGAGAATTAATTGCTGCATTAAGTGGTAAGAATTCAAAGTGAATTATTCCTTGACGATGCCATCAGATTGAAAGAAGAACCTTTCCCTTTTCGGCTGTGGCTGGGGTACATCCCCTTTACCAAGCCACTGATTACGACGCTTAACATTTCGATAAAAGATCCATTTTTTGTCGCCAGTCACAAGTCTATCCAAAAAAGGTGAAACAAGTTGGCGAGAATGGAGAGAAGAGCAGATGTCAACTCGGGATTTGAGGTTGTTTTCAGACAATTCATGAGGCACCCATTTTCCAAATTTAGGAACTTTTCCAAGTTGTTGAAGATGACGATGAACAGTTGTATGGTTTGAACTGAGAATCACTGCCAATTCCTCATCTGATAAAACAGGATTTTCTTCAAGGGCTGCTTCAAGAAGCTCTTCATCAAACTCAACTGGACGCCCGGTTCGATTTTCGTCTTCAAGAGTGAAATCTCCACCATCTTCTGCAAGTTCTTTCATTCACATATTCTTCTTCATAAACTGAGTGAATGTTTCTAGCCACTTCGGCTGCTGAGTTTCTTTTCTTGAACTCATAAAGCATTATGTGCCTCAAATGATTCTTGGGTACTTCCAAGTTAGCAGGGTTTTAATCAAACAAAATTTAATTTTATTGTTCTCTGAAATAAAATTTGATCAGTTTAAATGCATCTAAACATAAAAATAATGTTCAGTTCCTTTAGACATTGTAAAATACACTTTAAATTTCATTCATTTTAACAAAAAGTTAAAGTTCGGACAGAACTTATGGGATGACTTGATAATACAATATTGCAATAATATATATATATATATTGCAATAATATATATATATATTGCAATAATATATATATATATATATATATATACATATATATATATATATATATTGTAATATATATATATATATATATATATATATATATATGTACATATATATATATATTGCAATATTATAATAAAAATATTACAATAATATATATATATATAATTATAAAAAATGACAATATATATATATATATATATAATTATATATTGCAATAATAAATATATATATTACAATAATTTATATTACAATATTGTAATAAAATATTATATATATATAAATTATATATTGCAATAATAAATATATATATTACAATAATATATATTACAATATTATAATAAAATATTATATATATATATACAATTATTTATTGTAATAATAAATATATATATTATAATAATATATATTACAATATTATAATAAAATATTAAATATATATATATATATACACAGTTTTATATTGCAATAATAAATATATATATTACATTAATATATATACAATATTATAATAAAATATTATATATATATATATATATATATATATATATATATATATACAATTATCTATTGCAATAATAAATACATATATTACAATAATATATATTACAATATTATAATAAAATATTATATATATATATATATATATATATATATATATATATATATATATAGTTGCATAATACATTTTAGATACATCAAAAGGTGCTCGAGGTCAGTGATGCACTGAACTCATCGCCGATCTCAGGTTTTCAGATAGTCTCAAACAGCAACCCCAACCTGACTCTTTTGACATTGCAAACATGAAAATCATATCGACATAGCTAGGAGTTTGACCGTTCTTATCTTATTGAAATACGTACGTCAGGTTTAGCCAAAGAAAAAAAAGAAAAGAAAAACAAAGGCTTTTCATACTCCTCTCCTGTATAACGGTGTCTTTTTACTTAACCGGTTCGAATTCGTATTGATTTCCCTGGATTCCTAACTCGGTAAGCTGGACACTTTCTTGCATCCTTTGATCCAAATGTTTCATGCGTTTTAAATTGCTAATCCCCTAACATTGCTAACACTTTAACGCGTACTAAACCCAAATCTATCCTATACTACCATTTATCCTTCGCCCAAAATTAGTCTAATTTATCACTTATATATATATATATATATATATATATATATATATATATATATATATATATATATATATATGTGTGTGTGTGTGTGTGTCTGTGTGTGTGTCTGTTTGTCTGTCTGTGTATACCAGGTGTAATAACAAAATTGTCCAAATCGTGTAACAGCATAATTGTCCACCCCACATGTTTAATATCTAATATATAAAAAATACTAAAATAATTGAGTTTCTTTTTGCCAGTTTGTCAGATAAGATGTTTAGCATGTATCTTAAGGATGACTGAAAACACTTTGAGTTTTTCAGCTAGAAAAAGAACAGGTTAAAATCGTTTTGTGTCGGCCTCTCTGTCTTCCCAACTGAGCAATGGTGAGAGGAAAAAGACCTTTCCGGCCTTCAGTAATGCTACCAACATTCATACTCTAGTTTCCATCTTCAAAGACCATTCAAGAAGCATCAAGAGAACGGTGAATATGTTTCAAAAAGCGGGAACCGTAGAGGGGATAACTGGATCAGGAAGTCACAACAGTAAGAGGGATAATTATTTCAACTTAGAGCTAAAGTTATCAATTAGAAAAGATCCAACTCAGTCCATAAGATGTTTGGAACGTGAGAGAGGAGTTTTAGCTGTCAAGCTCTAAAGAGCAGTAAAAAAAAAGACTTGAAAATGAAATCGTATGTAAATCGTGTGCAACTTGTTAAACTAGCACAAAAATCTAGAAGGTTATAGAGGGCGAAGAGTATCTTCAATAAGTCAATGACCCTGGGATATATATATATATATATATATATATATATATATATATATATATATATATATATATATAACTATTTAAATCCTTCATGGGCTTCCAATCCTTAGCTGTGATTAATTAATGATGAATAAGTCAGTTTCGTTTATGATCGATATCATCACGATTCTTCTTGGAGAGTAATTATACATTCTTATTGCTCAACGCAGAGTAAAATAGTGTTATAAAAACCTCGGAGAATTCCAGTATGACAGCTTTAATTATTTCTATGTTATAACGGTTCAAATCTTGATCTAACAATAGGACAATTTTGCTGTTACAGCCAGTATATATATATATATATATATATATATATATATATATATATATGTGTGTGTGTGTGTGTGTGTGTGTGTCCAGTGTGTGTGTGTGTGTGTCAGCAACGCGAAGATAAACAGCAGTAAAATTTGCATGACTCGGCTGCCATTGGTGT